CTTAACCTTTTCCCCTAATTTTTCAGTTTGTCCATTATTCCTTTATTATTCAATTGCACCCTTAAACACAACTTGCATTTAAAAAAAATATTAATTTAAGTTCCGCCCTTCACCCTTGACTCTTTTTATTTTGCACCTCTTATGCACAACTGGCATTTTAAAAAGGCTTAATTTAAGTTTTACCTTTCACCTTTGTCTTTTTTTCATTTTGGTCATTATTCTTTTTTTTATTCGTTTATACCCTTAATCTGTCAACTTTTTTCAAATAGACCAGGTTTTCAATTATAGTGAAGCATGGGTTACTTGAATTGTTTTCAGTTATGTAGACAAGGACTGGACTTAAGAGTACTTCTTCCCTTGCATATGGCATCGGGCAAGTAGACAACTCACCATTTTCATTTTCATAAATCCATATTTATCTCTGTAGAAGCTTGTACATTAGCAAACTCATCAACATTGCTATGACTTGTACAAGTGCTCCCATAAGCAATGCCATTAAGTTGACTTATGGATCCATTACAGAAACTGCTGGTTCCACTTTGATTAGTTCGAAGGAACTAGTTCCGAAATCGGAATGATGGAAAAGTTTCACACCAAATGCAGGTTCGAGCTTCGACTTGGTACCGGGGATGAACTTGATTGTGCACAAAATATTGCAGAGATTACAGAATTATCACACTGATTATTCGATCTTATGTCCCTCACTGATACTGGGTCATGAATTACTCTCTGTTCCACGCACGATGCTTCAATTGATTGGTAGCTTCAGTAGTTGAATGGGTCATGTTTCTTCGATAGGTTAACGTGGGGCAAGGAGTATCGTCAATTTACTCAGAAATGATGCGTCAGCAATCTCAGATTCCATGTCTGGCATTGTACAAGAGCTTTGCAAGAGACAGCAAACATGCAACATGAATGACATCTTCAATACACATACAGATCTCTACTTGAATTTTAGACAAGCAACATATAAGCTTAAATACTCCACACAAGGAAATGTCTCCGCTCGAATTAGTACATCGCTTTTAAAAGGCATATCAAAGTGTTACGCCATTTTGGTATATAAGAAATGTGCTGAGCAATCAGAAAACAAACCTCAAATGACAGATTGAGAGCACTGGCCTGAGCATCGATCCCTTTCTCAGTTTGTTCCTTGTTTCTCCGGACATCAGCCGACCGACTGCTGGAATTATTACTTGCAGCATTATTTTCAGAGGTGTAGCTTCAACCTGTTTATGTCCAATGCTCTCATCACCGTTGAAGTTTCTGCCAACTATCGACTTATTTAAACAACCGGTACAAAACAGGATCAGAAAATATGGAAAATTATAGCATCAAAGGAACTGTAAAAAGGAGAGCAATATAAAGTCTAAGAAGTAAAGAATACTGATTGTCTTCTCCATGCATGCTGCCATAGATTTCTCAGGTCATTTCTCCTTATTGTCTTAACAAGGTAGTCAGCAGCCCCTCTCAACATGCTTTTGAACACTGTGCTAATTGAATCTTGAGAGGACATCACTGCAAAACCATGCCAAATGAAAGTTCCAAACGTAGCATAACAAAATTCTTGTGAATTTCTTATTCGAAACAAGACTCAAAATGCGGTATGATATCGTAAACTGGAATCAAATTACATATTAAAGCAAAACAAACTCATCAGAGCTGAATCAATTGAAAACATGAAAAAGAAACTGTCTTTTTCATTCCCTGATTAAATCAAGTAACACCGTTAGACCTACTTCAAGATGAGAAAAGGATTAACAATGAAGAAGACGAAGTGAAACCCACCTCTATTATTGCATTTCCTTAGAAAAGCAGCTGTAATTTGCCTGGTTGAATCATCAGCTTCGATCAACAAAGCCATCCTCGGCAAAAACCTTGCAATAATTTTTCTTTTTCTAATTCTTTGTGGCTCAGTTTCCATTCTTTTGCAGTGACAGGGAATACATAGTAGGCAAACTGATATGGGAAGTAGATTCTTGTGAGAATCACGGAATTCTCGCATGAAAGCCGCTGAACCACTGGCGTATAACTATTTATCTGCTATGATCAGCCACTTTCATCGAGTTTGATCAGGCATCCAACAAAACTATTATGTATGTTTAAACAAGATTTTCACAGAATTGTGTGCTTTATGGTTGATTCATATACAAGTAGAAATACATTCCAATGTTTCCATGTTTGAATTGCAGGCTTGCTTGATTGTGTGCTGCAGTAGCTCATTATTGCAACATGCTTTTGCTTTTTCTTGGTAAATTTAGGCAAGCAATGGCTGAATCAGCCATCAAAATCTTTTCAATCTTTGTTGGAAATATCATCTCAAACATGTATTCCATCAATCTCTTCAGTACTCGCCACGAACCTCCAACAGCATGATGCATGGAGGTAACATGAAGTAGACCATCCAACGTTAAAACCCCACCAGGGTCTCAAAGCAGTGCAACTCGTCAAATTGTGGTGCCACCTTTGGCGGTGGTGTGATCTGCACCTTTTGGTTAGCTTTTGCCAGTGTACTCTCCATGGATGAACGAACCCCACCTCCAAATTCCTGAAAAAGCAGATCCATACTATTGGGCGGCAGACCAGGAAACAGAAATGGAAAAGCAAGGGGTCTCCATATATTGTAATAAATCATGCATGGGCTTATATTGGGCCGCTTTTGATCAAGGTTGTCTGCAGGGAAAGCCTTTGTTGCCCATGCAAATACATCAAATAAATCAAGGGTGGCCCTTTTGGGTGTAAATGAATGGAATGTTTGACGAGTTGTTTATGAATTGTTCGTATAATGCTCTTTTATTAAACTAAATAAATGAATATGAACAAAATTTTCATGTTAATTTAATAAATTAACGAATACGAACATATATATTTAGTTTATTTATGTTCACGAACAAACTCGTTTATCAATTCATTTAACCAATTCTCCTTTTTTTTATATTTAAATGTTGACGAAAATAGTGATTGTAGTGAACATAAGGTTAACTTTGTAGTTCAAACCGTGAACTTAAAGGAATTTATGGACTAATGACATAATTTTATCGTTTTTCTTTGACTTGTAAATAAAAAGATAAAAGAGTGTTAGCTGTCAAATATTAAATGAATATTAATAAATATGTTCGCGAATGTTAAATGAATATGTTTGTGAACGTTAAAAGATCATGTTCACGAACACGAACACCTTCAAATATATAAATAAATGAACATGAACATGATATTAAAAATTTAAAATAACACGAACGAACATGAACATAATCTTATTCGTTCAAGCTCGATTTATTTGCATCCCAAGTATCCCATACTCAGCTGAACTATATGTGAGCAGCATACATAAAAAAAAATGGGTGCCTAAGGCGGCTCCAAAAGTGTCGAAAATGAGAACTGAAGGGGTGCATTAGAAAAGTAAAAGATAGACGAACCATTGAACTTTACCCACCAAAGGAGCTAATATTATAATTATAATTTAGCTTAGTGGGGAATATAGTATACATCAACTGAGCCAAATGGGTGGCTCTTACCAGTTACCTCTACTGTCTCTGAAGTAAAAAAAAAAGATGAAGGATTCCCTGAGCATTCCTCTTGCAAACTTGGTTTACTGCAATGAGGTAGGGTCCTAGGGCAATGGTGCCCCTACTTAGTAGGTCAGGTAGGTTAGTTGGACGTGGTCCAAGGGCAAATGTCAACTTATGAAATTAGGAGATATTTCTAAAGCCCTTTGCCTTTTGTCTCAAATTGATAATGGCATTCCCCTAGTGGAAGACCCAGTATTTTACCTACGAGCACCTAAAGCAATAAGATTTTTCTGTTTGTTTGTTTGTTAAGTTTTAGTAGTTATTAGGAGTTAAAATGGACAAGGAATCTTTAAATGTATAAATACTCGAAGGTTTTATTTAATTATAATATATTGGCAAAAAAAGTCAAAGGTTTGATATAATATTAACAAAAAATCTAAAAATATGTATATCATCTATGAAACATAACAATGACATATAATTCAAATATCATTGTATTAAATATAACTCTAATAATTAATAAGAATTGTCTCCACCTTTAATTTTCATATATTTGAATTATGTTATTTTATTTAATGTTCTCCTTTTTGTATAAAAATGATAGACGATTTTTTCTACTCTCATATCACGCTATTTGATTGCTTTTGTAACATGTCCTTTTCTTTTCGGAGTTAAATTTAACGTTACCCCTTTAAACGATATTTGTTTATCTTATTAATTTATGCCACTTTAACTAACTACAATAAATTAGACAGATTGTCTTAATCATGTACCCGATTATGCTTCATTTTAACACCGCCAAGCCACAAGGCTGATGTAATAACGCAAAGTACAACAGATGCTGCATTCTCTATCTATTAACAGATACTTCTCAGACCACTTTGTACGTGTATAAATATCAAAGACGACATACATGCATCCCTTTGTTTTAAAAATATGGTAAAGTGAAGATTTTTATATACTAGATGTCAGTGGACACCATTAGGCTCCTGTATAAGGATGGGTAGAAAATCATTAAAATATAATCATATTTTCTAAATTTTTTAATTTTTATATAATTCTAAATATATTGTATTGATATTTTAATTTTTTATCTCTTAAATTTTATAATTTTACACATTATAGATTTTTAATTTACATAATTTATATAAAATTTTGTGTCCAGTCTATCGTATAAATGTAAACATAGAGCCAAAGAGCAAAAGGAAATGAATGGTCTATTAGCAATGCCAATGCGCCATCCACTAACCGACCCTCTTTGCATGCGTGGTTACAAGTTTAAAAATCCCATTCCTTTTAGATAAAATAAGAAAGATACTGCCACACCAAATCTGTAAATTTAATCGATGGAAACGTAGCTTTCTAAATTCTACTACTCCACTCAATGCAGAACAAACCCATTATTTATTTTATTTATGCCTACTTCACATATATATGCATATAAAGGGCGTCTCGTTGTGCCCATACTGTCTTACTGTCTCTAAAGCTAACATGGGTAAATGTTGGGCTCTTCTTAGACCGAGTGAAGGTTCTTGCTTGCGAGGCGTGGAGAGCGAGTCTAAGCAGAACGTTGTTCGGGTGGTGAAGATGGATGGGAAGATGTTGGCACCACTTCTGGTTAAAGATGTGTTGGGCAAGTGTTCAGGGTGGGGTATTGGTTCATCGAAGACAGAATCGAATTCCCCGTCGTTCGTGGCCGATACGCAGCGGGCGGGTGGTGTTAGGAGAATAAAAGTTGTGATCACAAAGCAAGAGTTTCAGCAGCTGTTGACTAAGCAGATATCTGCAGCAGAGGTCCTTGCAGGGCTTGAGAAAAGAAATGTCAGTTCGTCTCCAAGAAATTGGAAGCCAAAGCTCGAATCCATATTGGAAGTAAATGAGTAACTGTATTATATATATATGTATATGTAAATGTTGCCAAGTTATGAAAGTAAAAACCTTCTTGTTCTGCAACTAAGAAATTACAGTGAAATTCATGTTCTGAACAAATATAACTTTAGCCATTTTCCTGAATTTCTACATCAATAACTTTGCGTTCAACTTTGGTCTTGGGAATGGAGATGAAGAGAACTCCATTCTTCAGCTCTGCCTTGATTTTATCCTTATCGCAGTTGTCGGGTAATTGGATACGAGTATCATAAGAGCTGTAGTTCCTGTTAGTCCAATCATCGTGGCTCTCTTCCTTATTCTGCTCTCCCTTTATAACCAGAACATCGTCCTCCACGGAGACCTTAACGTCGTCTTTCGCCAACCCCAGCATATCGAATCGCATTTTGATCTCATGTTCATCGTCTTTGATGTCCCAAGGGGTACGCACCTCTCCTCTTCTTCGGCCGGTGGTAGGAAACGCCATGCTATCCTCGAACAACCGGTCCATTGTGTCCAACATTCCCCGGATCATGTTACGATTGATACTACCGAATAAAATAAATTGCACTGAGTTGTGACTAAGCTAATATTACTTACCAAAAGGAGAGATATCCATAGCCAGCCGTTTAGGCCTTTTCTCAACGGCTGTCCCTTGGCCTTTATTATCCTTGTTAACGTGCACGTCCACTGACGTATCTTTGTTATGATCACCAGTAGCCTGTGCCCTTACAACAGACATCCCGTGATTGACTGAATTCTTGGACGGAAATGATACAGAGAACGGCATTATAAGTTTAGTGGAACAAGGAAGAGTAGCCCTGTTTGATACCAGGGGTGAAGATGAGCAAGACAAAGTTGAAGCCATTGCCATAACAGATTTAGAGAACTGAGAAGTGTGTATCTTAAATGGTAGCGGGAAGATATGTATTGTTTTTCCGATGACCGTCTTTGAACTGACGAAAGGAGGAAGAAAGAAGGTGAATTTATATAGATGGAAAAGTAGGAAGGGGAAACATGGAGAGGGATCCTGAAAGGTGTGGAAGTTCTAGACCCAACACCTGGACTCGTCCTCACTTTGGGCTTCCTGAAACCTCCAGGACTTGCATCTTAACACTAGAACTCCATTTATTTTCTTTTTAACTTTGTAATTATTTAAAAATATATGACTGCATGATTAAATTATATAATTAATTACCATATTATTCTCTCTCTCTTTTATATAAATAGTCATTCACATTATATTCTGTTTTTACTTATTTTCTCTACTCTTACGATTAGGAACGAGTATAACTTATCTTGATTCGAAAAATCGATTTTTTGGGTTTAATTTAAATTGACTCTGAATTATAATTTGATAGATTTGATTTGACTCGAAAAAGTTTCAAATTCAAGTTGAGTTATAAAATATAAATCAGATAACTCAAAGTTTTTAATAATTATTATATTATTTTTTTAGTTTAAGTCGAATCCCTCGACTTTGTATGATATATGTATATCACATTAAAAAATATGAAGAAATATATATTTATTATATATGGTTATAAAAAATCATTTAAATTGAAATCAAATAATATTCAAAAACTCGACTGGACTCAAAAAAAATCAAATCAAGTTTGAGTTATAAAATAGGACTCCTCAACTCAAAATATTTTGGCACAACTCGAACGCTCACCCCTATTTACGAGTGCAAATGAAATGAACTTTAATGAACAAGGTTATATTCATGATCGTTTGTTTATATTAAAAATGTTTATGTTACATTCGTGTTCGTTTAAAATTTTAATATTATGTTTATAGTAGTGTTCATTTATTTATTTTTCAATATATCCGTGTTCGTTTGTTTAATATTCATTTGTATGTTCCCGATCATATTCATTTAGTATTCATGAATAAGCTCATTTACAAGTTAAAAATGATTACCTTATGCTATTAATGCTCAACACCCTTAAGCTTAATAATTTAAACTTCAAATTTCAGCATGTATTAAATTTAATCCCTACATACCAATATTTAAAATGTACAAAATTAAAAGTAAATGAATTTTTAAATAAATTTATAAATAAACTTATTTATGAACATAAATAAATGAATTTATAGTGAACATAAACAAAACAAACACATCTTTATTTATATTAAGTTATTTATTTAAAAAATATAAACAAAATTATTTTTATTTATTTAACTTAACAATAAACATAAATAAATATTAAACGAATAAATAAACATCAGTTCTTGAACAACTGAAAAACCAAGTCGGGATATATATCATAAACCAACACAAGTGATTAACACCATACAAAAAAGAAAAAAGAAAAAGAAAATTGTAGCAAAGTTGGGTTCAATTCCGATAAGAGATAGCAAAGTCGGGTTATTTCCTTTAAGCCAGCATCAAACTGATCTCAGATTTGACACTTGAACTAACAAGTGTTGGGCTGCTACTACTGCTGCTAACAGACATTGAAGTAAGAGCTTTTAGTAAAACACCAGACGGAGAAGACACTGCAGTCACCGGTGAGCTACAAGAAGCTCCATTTTCGGTGACGGGAGATGATAGGCCAGAGCTGCTTTTGTAGGCGGTGCTAGGCCTTAAAACCTCGGCTAGTGGGCCTCCGGGTGTGGAGGCAGGGCTAACCAGCTTGAAAGGCGTGATTTGGAAGCACCCATCTCATTATCCGTGATGTTATTGATTCCCATAGACAGGGAAAGTGAGGAAAGAGAGTTTTCCATTACATGGAACAGAGGCTCCAGCTCCAGAGTTGTCACCTGATACACCAGTAGACCTCGCATCAGTGAAGCCTCTAGGTGTACCTTCAGCCGAGGGAAGTACTTCAGAATTGAAAAACCAAGGGCAACTGTTCGGATGTTGATCTTCTGCAGCATAATTTTGGCCCGGAACGAAGGAATTATTGGCATCGGACAAAGAACATTCAGTGGTTGACCCTATTTGCATGAGCTGATACCACTGCTGGTCAGCCAGGGGAACGAGTTCATTCATGGTCCAGTCCGAGATCCTACAAAAGCATAGCCCAAATTGATTAAAAGGCATGATGCTTAAAACAAACACACACGTAGTTGTTTTACCCACCTAGGCTCCTTGTAGGAAGAAACAGAGGTGAGAGGCCAAAAGGTTGCAGCCTTTTCATTTGGCTTGTCAAAAAACCAGGTGGTCTGATTCTGGTGGAAGGGCTGAGAAGCAATCTTAGTGAGAATGGTGGAAGAAGATGAAGGAAGAGCTTGACCATGGGAATGACGTGTCCTCTTACTAGGATGTTCCACAGGCATTCTTGAACGGGGACGACCTCTATGCAGGTGGCGCTCACAGTACTTGTGGTCAGGCGCCACTTCTCTTGAGCACCTCCATTTTTTCCCGTCTGTTCTCTTGCACCTCCCTGGTTCAACATCCCCTCTACTTGTCAACCTTAAATTCAGAGCACCACTACCCACTGCCAACACACCAGAAACAAACAAAACCGAGGAGAAATCAATGAAGATTTTTAAAAATTTGATGAATAAAAAGATAAGGTAAACAGAATGGAGATTACAGGCAGAATAGGAAGCAACTGGAAACGAGGGGAGGAGGAGCTCAATAGGCACAGGAACGGAAGCCATCATGTATTTGTATATCATGATTTGTCTCTCAAGCTCCTTCCTTTGTGAAAATGTAAAAGGAAGCCCTAAAGTTGCCGCCATCCCTCCTGCTGCACAAATCAAACATTATCCCCAGTGTTGTCTCAGTCAAACAGACAAAAGGCAAGGAAATTTCTTTCCTACTGTTTCTTTTAGAAAATATGGAGGAAATACATGATGGATTTTGCATTGAGTAGAAGAGAAAAAGCAAGGAAATTTCTACTTGAGGATTTGATGGCGGTGTGAGCAGTAGACGTTGAAGTCGATGAAACGTCAAAAGGCTGCAGAATCCTTAAACCAACTGCACCGCCAATACCAACAGTAGCAGCAGTAGAGCCAGAACCATAATCACTGCTGCTAGCTAAAACATGGTACATATTTATTGTCTTAGCCCTGTTGTTATTGCTCATGGTACCATCACTATCTCCATATGATGAGGAACGGACGGTGATGATTATCGTAGTGAGCCATCATAATCTTCCTAGGTGCCAAACCAACAGCTTTAATGCCTACTCAACTCTCTTTGGCTGCAATGCTCATAATAAACAAACCAATTTCCTCTTTTAGGAAACTGCTTTTTTTCATCAAACAACCAAGAATCTCCCCAAGCTTGCAAACCCTGCACCCTTTTGAATGGAGAAGGAAAAGAAGAAATTTAAAGCCGAAGATTATAAGGAAATGAGTAATCTTTTTCCCTTTTAAAAGGAGACACCAGCAGCTTATAAATCCTTTGGAAAACCAACAAATATCAGCCTTAAATGACTAGGTGATATGTATAGCCCCATGGCGTGGACAGTATGAGTGCGTGGTTATGGGTTGGCCGCCATTCTCGGTCTTTGATTTGCTTCCATGCTTCCAACATTCTCACCACGGTAGTCGACAAAATAGTAAAAAGATTTCTCTCTCTCTCTCTCTCTCTCTCTCTCTCTCATTCAACCGCATGTCATTATTGTGCCCGGCTATCGTTTTCTGCATGCAAAGCTAAAAACACCGTACTTTGCCACTTGGAAAACCAACTAGGGACAGGATTTGGGGCGCCCAATATTTGCTAACACCCGATACTTCGCTTTGAAGCTTAACGACCCAAGTCAACATTTTTGTTCAATTTCATTAATGGAGTCAGAGAAAAGAGGGCTGTGATTTGATTGAACATCCATTTGCTCTCAATAATATAATGCTAGAGTTTTTGAAATCATAGTTTCCCATAAAGCCTTTTACTACTTCAAGGACGTGATATATGTGGTATTATTATATAAATATATACAAAAATATTATATAAATAATAGATTTTAAAAGATAAAATAATTTAAGTAATCGAAAATATCTTATAATATACGATTTTAATAATTTTTTTTAGATTTATAAAAATAATTAATAAATTCGTAACGCGAATTAAGAACTCGTAATAGAGAATTTAGAATTCGCAACTTGATTTTGACAATTTCGCAATATAAATATTTTTTTCGCAACACAGTTTTTAAATTCGAAACTCAATTTTAACAATTTCGCAACACAAATTTCTTTTTAGCAACAATATTTTTAATTTGTAACTCAATTTTTGAATTCGCAACTAGATTTTCTTTTTCGCAACACGAATTTATTTTTTGCTATACGAATTTTTTTTTCGCAACACGAATTTTTTGGGTATATAAATTACGCAGCAGCAACAACTCATAAACTAAATTCCTAAATCGTAACTCAGTCCATCTCTATCTCTCACTCTCTCTGACGACATTCGTTCCTATATCTGACGACATCCTTCCCCATCTCTAATTTTTTTTTACATAATTTTATTTCTATATAATTTTTCAATAAGTTCTCTCCCAAATTATCAAGTATACTCAAATTAATAAAGATATGTTTTTCAATGATATCTAGTTTATAGCTCGTTTATTTAGTAAATTAATTTGCAACTTGTAGAATGAAAGCATCTAATGTTGATCATGTTTGGATATATTTGTGTTATGGAGGGTCATAGGAGAATGTTAATGGTGTTTTACAATATATGTCTTTACCCATGAATCTTCAACTAAAACTGTCATTAAATTTGTTAATTTTTGAAACGATAATGTTACGTGTTTCAAAGTAATTGAATTTAGAGCATTTAAGTGAATTTAGGTTATCTTATTAGAGAAAAGGTAAATTTATTTGTTAACCGATAATAAAGATGTTGAACGATTCATTGCTTACATTAGTATTTCGCAAGATAATGTTACATTGTATGTTGTTGAACCTAGAAGTAGTAAAGTTAGGTCAGTAACGGATAGTAATCAACTAAGTTCTTCAGCTTCA